ACACATCCTTGTTTGAGACCAACTGGACAATCAAAGACTTGCGTGTACGATCCTCCACTACATCTAACAGAAGCTGACACGCGTGAATACATAGATTCAATAATGTGCAGCAATTTCCCACTCAGGTTGATGTTGCGAAGTACGCTCATCAGTTTTGTTCTATAGATAGAATCAAATGCTTTCCTAAAGTCAATTCGAGCAACATATAGGCGACCTTTTCTTTTACTGAGATATTTCTGTACGCAGGCAGTTAGTGTGAAGATGTTGTCCGTCGTAGAGTAGCCCTGACGAAATCCTGCTTTGTTCTTCACATATCTTGTGAATAATTTCAGTCCACGTCGATAGGTGCTTGTTAAGGATAGATGTGAATACTTTTCCAAACACACTGTTTTAAGGTAATTCCCCGGTAGCTATTCGGGTCTTTGAGACAGCCGCTTTTATGTATAGGAACAATAATGCCACTTCCCCAGCCGTTGGGGAAAACTCCTATATCAAGGATTTTGTTGAAGAGTTTTACTAAGTAAGGCAATATATACTTGAGTGATGATTTTAGTAATTCTGGTATTATATAATCTTGACCAGATGACTTTCCACTCTTTAATTTATTCACAGATTCCATGATTTCTTTAGCTGTAATGGGGACATCAGCAGTATCAACATGGTTACTGTCTATATCACGAATCCCTTCAGTAGTCCTTTCCTGGGTATCACCTGCTGAGAAAAGTTCTTTGAATGGTCAAACCATTCCTGAGGTGGAATGGGATAATCTTGTCTCACAGTACCATTCATTTTCTTGACCTGCTTCCAAAACGCTTTGCTATCGCATAGAGTTTCTTCCAATAATGATGTCTGTTGAAGTTGGAAAGTTCTGTGCTTGGTTCTGACAGTGGTCTTATATCTGTTACGCAAAACTCTGTATGTATCGAAATGAGACTGGATCTTCGTAGTCCTGTATTTCGCAATGCTTTTCTGGCCTCAACTTTGTTACGGTGACATTCTCTATCATACCAAGTGTTCTTAAGCCTCTTACAGAAAGGTTTGACTTTCTTCTTAAACATAGATGCATGTTCAAGCATATTTTCTGTGAATAAACCAACAGATTGGTTAATGTTCTTGTCAATTAGGTCTGTAGCTTTATCTAGAGCAAATAGAAAAATCTTGAGACATAAGGGCTACTTCAAATTGCTCACGTAAGCATTCAGTCCACACATATCTGTAACTGTGTGTATCTTCTGCCCTGGCTGTGTTAGTGTTCGTTGGCAAACCAGACGGTAATGTCACTTTAATTGCTTGGTGTTGCGACTCGACTCTTGACACAACTTCGAAGGACTTGTATATCGAGAACAGGTATGTAGATATCAGACAATAGTCTATGAGACTAGATCCATTGTGGCATAGGTATGTACACATACCGGTACTGGAGTCACTGCCACACCTGCCGTTCATCATGTGGATGTCCAACGATATACATAAGTTAATCAAACTTCTTCCAAATGGATTAACTGTATGGTCTCCTGACACACGTGGTATATCAAACGGATCTTCATTCTCTCCTGTCATATCATCATCAGTAAAATCGTGCAAATTTCCGGTCCGAGCATTGAGATCGCCACCAAGTATAACCACTGGCTGGGAGGTGCAGTCCTGAAGGACGTCCAGAATGTCACTTTCTAATATGGTTATTCCGTTTTGTCATCACATTTTGCGTAGAAAGTAGAACCTGCTGGGGTACATAAACACAGCAATATAAAACATCTCTATCAAATGCAAATAGATCACGTTTTAAACAAAATGTATACCCAGTTGTGTATAAAATACACTGTATACCCTAGTTGCGTATCAATAAAAGGATACCTGAGTTACGACCAATATAAGTACTTTTTTTTCAAGTCAAAGTCTTTTTATTTTCGGCCGTATCAATAAAAGTATGCATGTATACACAAAGGGAGTTTACGACCAACACTTGCTGATCGTTTGGCTTTCAAAACCATAGCATCAAAATCTGGAAAATACTGGTGGAAATCAGCAGTGTTCATAGTTGACCATGTTTCTATCATACCAAAATGTCCTGGCTTTTCACAAAGTTAATAAAGTCCCTCATCATGAAGTTTATTTTGAATACCGTCTATATTCCAAACACAAAAAGATAGGCATTCTGATTGGGCCTTGCTTGTTTGCTTATAAGACAGGCGACTCTCCGTTGCCTGCCTCGCTCGGTATGTAACTGGTCTGTTCTTGACTGACAATCGGGCGTACGTCGCTTCTGTTGTACGTGCGGGTCTACCGTTACACGTAACGGGAGCAGCACGTGATCGAGTGCGCCGGGCTGGCGGCACGCTGGACACATACAGTTTACCGTTCTTGTAGTAACCTCTTGTTTTCGGCCTTCAGGTCCTGCAGCGCACTTCTCTGGCTCACTGTCAGGTCGTTGGACACGCCGATGCCAACACTTTTAAACTGACTTCTGTTTTGATGATAGCTAGTTTGTCATCCCCATGTAGAAAACGTACGAGCAGCGGTCTACAACGTCCACTGGAATTTCGTCCAAGTCTGTATGACTTATCTATATCACGAACGTTCCATTCCCTGTCGGGTACAGTATTGCGTAATGTGTCGACAGTAAGACTTTTCTATCACTGTAAGATTCATTTTTCATTTTCTGCTATGTCGTAGAAAAATGACGTTATTTTTCTCTTGTATATATATCCATCTTGTCGAGTTCATTTTAACAGTGTCATTGTTTCTTTTGTTTATTCTGGCTTCAAGATTTGCTTCGATGTCATTAATATGGGTGTCTAGAGCAGTAACGTCCAGTCGTAGCACCTCCTGGTTGCATTTCAGATCTTCGACGTCATTTCCAATATTATTAACGGCTTTGCTTAAAGATTGACATTCACTGCGGATACTTTCATAACTTCATCTTTTACTTCTTTGATGTCTTCTTTAAATTCACATTTCATATCCTTCATCTCTTGAATCAAACGTGCAATGTCATTACCAATGCTGTCTAAGGTTGTTCGTGGGCCTGGGTTCACTTCCACGTCCCCTGAGAGAAGCAAGAGAGTGTTGATGTTAACGTTTGGAAAGTAGGTCACTGGGTCTGACACGGCCAGTCCGTTTTGGGTGCATGGGCTTGTGGTGAAGGGCCAGAGGTTAAATCCGATGTGGTGTGTATTTTGCACATTTCTGGTGTATGCATCTCTCACCTTTACCACACCGTCTGTATGAAGACTGAAGTTTATTAACCCAAAATGTCAAAATCTTTCAACCTCAATATCTCCAAAACTATAGGAGATCAATGGACCTTAATTTTCTCTCGATGTAGACAACATCATTTTTCTTTAATTCAACGCATAGCGGAAGCTGGCCGCCATGATAGATTTTCCGCCTTTTGAAAAAAAGGAAATTTCCGGTCGATTTTCGCATGTTGGCGGTGCCTGTGTTTAAAAATATTCTTCTCCAGAACGGCATATAGTACAATCGCGTTGGATACGCCGTTGGATAGTCCATAATTCGGACAACTTAAAACCTTCTGCTGCATGTTGATATCTTGAACAGCTTTGGAGTAATCGCCCTTGGATGTTGGTTTTTTTTCCCAAGACGCATTTCCATAGGGTTCATAAAATGTCAGAGCTCTGCGAAAACACAAGCGATTTCATTGTTCAAGGTACCAAACTGTAGATAATTGAATCGGAAACATTTTGCTTCATTATTATTATTATGTAAAATCAATAATTACGTCACAATTATGACACAAACACAAACCTTACGATTTTTCACTTTTCCGCACGTTTTGAGGCGGTGCCTGTGCTTATAAATGTTCTTCTCCAGAACGGCATATAGGTAAAATCATGTTCGATATGTCGTATTGAAGCCCACATTTCGGACTACCTAAACCCTTCAAGGCATGTCGATATATTGAATAGTGTCAGAGTCATTGCCCTTAGAAAGTTGGTCAATGTTGTCAAAACGCATTTTGATAGGGTTCTGAAGCTCTTCGAAAACACAAAGGACTTCACTTTCCATGTACCAAACTGTGGTGATAATGGAATGGGGAACATTTTGCTCTTCAAATTATTGTTATGTAAAGTCAATAATTACCCAATGATTACGCCACAAAACAGGGAGGGACGTTAGAATTTTCGCATTTTGATACAGAGAAGATCTACGTCATATCGGCATTATTCCAGCCATATAGTGACGAGATCAAGTTTGCATTTATCACCATTCTAAGCTAAGCAGGTACATTGCTTCTTCTGCACGACTGCAAGAATCCAGCACATAAAAGCACAATATACATTAATACACAGTAAAGTTCACAATACCACAACTGCGACCATGGCAGGCGTAATTTCTCTTTAACCGCATCACAGAAATATTTTGAAATGGCTGTTTCGCAAATGCAATCATCTCTTTTAGTATAAGCGTCTCTTATATATTGCCCAATTCCTTTGCTTTGTTTGACTGTGCCTTCCTGTTTGTTTTTCTGCAGTTTGTGAAATTTCCGGTTTGTGTCAGCACCATTGAATCAATGCGAAATTAATCTCAAAATCCTTTGTAATGGACGCCTCCAGCTGGCGTCCAAAGAAACAATACAAGCAAAGGTGGCCACGGGGAGTGTATGGGGAAGTCTGAAGATCGTCAAGTATTGCCCAGGAGGCAATCCTAGTTATTATTATCATTACTATCTTAGATATGTACACAATAAGTGCTGTACAAGGCGGCATGTTGTATCGCCGAGAGCGCTTAATTGCCAAGCGACAATAATATGCAGTAGCACAATCTGTTTAACAAGTACGCTGGGAGCTTCCAGACCAACAGCTCCAGCGACATGCGGACGCAGACAGGCCAGTTGTAAACCGGTTTCCTTGATATAAGGAGAGCGGACTCCAATCGCACAATCGGTTAGTTATAATTTGAAACCAGTTTGCAAACCAATTTAGGTTTGAAGGTGATATTATCAAATCCGATTGGTTGATTGATTTTAGTTGAATCCCCCAGATTTCCCCCGAAAGCGTCGGATTTTCACGTCAGCATTTACTTGGATACTTTGTCAAGGGAAGCACCAGTCCCGAGGTATGTTAATCTTACATAGTAAACATTGTACCTGCATCATGTCTAGGTACAACTCTGGTTGCAAGCGTTTAGCTTTCTTTGATCATAACGATTACAATTTCAACTGGGCCATAGTAACCTGCGCAGTCAGAACGACTTGTGGAGTGACAAGGTCGTGTCCTGGCCCTTATTCCGTCATAGGAAATGAGAGTGAGCATTAATCCAGGCACATCTCTGCGAGTTTGCGAGTGTGTGTGTGTGTGTGTGCGTTTGCAGCGTGTGTATGTGTGTGCGTGTTGGCGAGGGGTGGGTTGCAAATGATAGTACATGTTCGCTATTGTGACGTAAACTTTTCCTCCCTCACTCACTCACTCCCTCACTTAAAGTCAGGATCAAGAAAATTCAACGTGTTTCCATAACAACCGATCTCGTGAAATACCACGCTACTACGTAATAGTTATTTGGGAACCTACGGAGACATGATTGCCTTCCCAAGTAACACAGCTTCAAGTCGAGTTATAGTTACTTCTGTCTTACAACATTTGACTTAGTTTGACGGGTCAGACGCCTGGGTATGTACCCTCAGATTTGTGAGGGTGTTGATTTTCGCCAGCTATAAACACAGGTACTCTGTCCTCTGCGTATCGAGGGCTCTCATTCTGCCAGTATCATAGCGGACTGGGTGTGTACTTAGATTCATGTTAGAAGTTATTTTAAGTGTCTTTGTGTATAAGTATCAGGTACTTGTCAGTTACTACTAACGCGGACCCGTGAAGATCCGGGGGTAGAATAGGTCTTCAGCAACCCGCGTGCTTGCCATAAAAGGCGACTATCTTGTCGTAAGAGGCGACTAACGGGATCGGGTGGTCAGTTTCGCTGACTTGGTTGATTATGTCATCGGTTCCCAATTGCGCAGATCGATGCTCATGCTGTTGATCACTGGATTGTCTGGTCCAGACTCGATTATTTACAGACCGCCGCCATATAGCTGGAATATTGCTGAGTGCGGCGTAAAACTAAACTCACTCACTCACTACTACTAACGCGGGAGAGAATTGTGCACTGTTGTCAAAATGTGGATTTGCTTAATTAAAGGTCGAAATGAGTAGTTTTAATGATGGGGTTTCATTTATAACGATGTCAATATGATTTATATATGTGTACCCATAGACTATATGTGATCAATAATCACGTGATATTGTTACCCCTTTCCAGGTCAATGGGTGGGCATTTCTTCTGACTTTCTTATATTAATATGTTCATATGTATCGATATATTCCTTAAGCGAGTAGACATTGGAGAGTAAAACGGATATGTACACGATGTTATAGATGACTATGAAGCTTCAGTGAGTGAGTGGAGTTTGAATTTAACGCACCTTCAAGCAATTACAGCAAAATCACGGCGGGAAATAGAAGAAATAGGCCTAACACATTGTACCCACAATGATGCTGCTGGCCATTTGAAGGAGAAAATCATCTCCGAGTTGTTGATTTTGTTGATGACGAATGGGCTTCATTGTACCCATGTAGGGAATCAAACACTGGTGTTCAGCGTGACAAGGGAACACTTTAACCATTACCCTACCCCGTCCTTTCCACGTCCATGAGAAATCTCCTCTAAAAGCAGAGTGGATTGTACAATTGTGAGTATAATTATCATGAGTATGTACAGGACTACGTGACGAAGTAATATGTTTTCATCGTGACATACATTACCTACATTCAGAGTGTGTAAGTATAGTGATCGATATAGTATTATATCTACTGGGCACACCTTGAGAGCCACAGTCAATCAGGTAAACATTACACCAGTTCCTTAAGTCGAGTATCAGTCCCCTATGTTTTTAACCATGGGCCGTCATCATCTCAATTCCTGAAATGTGGATGTTTGCCAATCTTTGACCAACAGATGAAATATCTTCCCATAGCATTTACAGTTACTACAATCGTAATCCAAAGATAGGGTGGACTTGGTTCGTGTGTGATCACATATTTAGTTTCACGCATCTGTCTCTCGCTTGACTATATATACTCATGCCAATAATGGTTGTCACCCCCTTCATTATTATTAATAAGCGACCCCGTGAAGATCCGGGGTAGAATAGATCTTCAGCAACCCATCCTTGCCACAAAAGGCGACTATGCTTGTCGTAAAAGGCGACTAACGGGATTGGGGGGTCAGGCTCGCTATCTCGGTTGATACGTGTTATCGGTTCCCAATTGCACAGATCGATGCTCATGCTGTTGATCACTGGAATGTCTGGCCCAGACTCGATTATTTACAGACCGCACCCATATAGCTGGAATATTGCTGAGTGCGACGTAAAACTGAACTCACTCACTCACTATTGACAGACTGAGGGATGACAACCATTATTGGCATGAGTATATTATACACATATATATTCTACATACACAACGTATCTTAGTAGAGTGGGCCGTTTGTGTTTCTGCAGTTCCATGAGAGGAAGTTATAGATGATAAGTATCACACTTTTGATGTAACCATTCATAATTAAGTGTTATATCAAATATTCCTATACATTTAGCCGCAAATACCTGCAATGATGCCCACGCACCATGTAATATGCACTTATCCCCTCACTAAGTCTTTTGTGTGAGCATATACCTTATGCAAGTTTCTTCAAATGTTTTGCATGTACGTTTGGTTATGTACAGCAAAGTATACAATATAGACACGTTAGTATACCTATAAAAATCACCTTAGTCAAACTTTGATGTGAAAGGTGTCAGTTGAGTTTACACAGGACCCTTTGTGTGTCCTGTTGGTACTATTTATAAATATATGGTCCTGCTTTTAAATGCAATACAGAAATACTTTCTCTGCGTACACCGGATAAGACTGATTTCCATATTGCATAAATACCCACACAGAGCGCCTATCGCCACAACTTGACAACGACTGGTAAACATCTTTTGTCCTTTACGAATAACCTGTAAACGCCAATTTGACAGCTTAACTACTGCACCTGTGACAAACAAATGTAACGTGTGAACACTGAGAAGAGAGAGCAAGGTTCTAGTGTAGAGGACTGTGTGTGAGTGACTGAAATGTGAGCTGTGCACAATCAGTGTGTATTTCAAATTGCCCCAACAAAGAGCGAATGAAGAAAGCAGTTTGTAAAACCTGTTAGTCTGTTCTGATCGTCTTCTCGTCACTACACATATACCGAGCCAGTGACGTTTCGCCTACAATAGCTTAGGCGTCATATGGAGGCACCTTTAGACAGTTGTGCACGTAGCTATGAGAGGAAGTGCCGCAGCTCTTTGTCCACAAAATGTATACCAGTTCAGGTATAAAAACAGGTGTATATTCTTACTACAACACGTAGTTCTCTTGATTTAACTGCGAGATTCTGGTTTTATTCACTCATTACTCACGCATTAAATGTGAATATTAGCAGAACATTACTCCACATTCAAAGACGACAGGTGAACAGTAAGTATTTTGTCAAATCACCATGGGCAGCAATGCAGGCTTCAATGAGGCGGGGCATACTACTGATCAAAGAAGTTAGAAAGTCGTGGTCCATGCTGTCCCAATATCGGACCGCCTCTTCTTTCATTTCAGCAATATTTGTCAGATTTTTCTTATTGACACTTTCCTTCATAAGTCCCCAAACATTTTCTATTGGATTTAGGTCAGGGCTATAGCTTGGCCAATCTAATAATGACATATTTTAGGTCCGATACCAGGCCTGTAGATGCTTTGAACGATGATTTTTTTGATTGTTGTCCTGCAGATGGACACCGCTCACTGTTCATATTCCCTTCAAATACACAGAAGGGCGTTACCCCTAACACAGTTATGCCACCCCACACGTTAAATTTCGGACTGTACTTTGGGCGCTGATACAAAGGTTTTTCAGTTTGTTTGGTCCAGAATTTCAGTGTATTAGGAAACAGCCACACAGAACTTTCATCTGAGAAAATCACATTGTCCCAGTTAAAATTTCTATGCTGTAAGCACCAGTTCAACCTTCGCTCCTTTTGTTCAGGTTTCGTGATCGGTGATGAAATTCCTCGACTTTTCTGTCAACCCATTGCATGCAGCTCAGTTCTAATTGTCTCCTTACAGACAGCCACAGTTCCTCTATCAATCATATCCAGTCTTACGTTTTCTAAACTTCTTCGTTTGTTTTTAGAAACAAGAATACTAAGCCGCCTCCTGTCTCCGACAGTCAATTTTCTGGGCCTACCAGCCCCTCCCTGGTGCTCAATGCCATATCCATTTGCAATATTTTCAAAACACGATAAACAGTGTACAAAGGGATGCCTGTTCTACTTTGAAATCACTTTAGCTGATCTGATGTCCTTGTTATAATACTCTACTTATAATAATAATCAACTTCCTCTTCTCTAAATCATCCATATTGAGGATCACTGAAAATGCTCGTCTGCAAGCAAGTAAACAAAGGGGGATAACTGTTCACAAACTAATGAAAAGGATTAACGGAGTTGTCTCTTGCATGAAACCAAGCACTTGATAGCTGGACAAGGTTGTTTATACTAAAAATCCTATTAAATATATTCCTAAATTCTCAATAATTTCTGGTATTACTATAGTTCAACACACTTATCATCGAGGTACAGACACCAGAATAATGTTCAGCACGACATGGACATCATGGCCTCCTATGGAACTACGTCAATGTGAAGTAATTCTTCCTCAATCTAATACATCGAAGTATAAAATGAAAATCTCCTTTCAGATATTGAACATTCACTTGCAAACAAATGTATAAAACAATATCAACAGTCGTGAATATTTCCGGAAAGCGAAAGAGAAACATAAAATAATCGTTTTCGTTTTTCTTCCCTTCAGCTCGTCCAAAGACATTTTTCATAGTCATCTAAATAGCTTGAATATATGCTGGGTCAGTTACATGAAATAAGATTGGTCCGAGACACTTCATAATTCCCCACCCACCTAGTGTTGCAAAAAAGGGTGGGTGGGTAGGGTGTTTCAAAAGGGATGGGTTGGCTGTTGCAAAGGGGTGGGTAGGGTGTTTCAAAAGGGGGTGGGTTGCTAGTGCTGCAAAAAGGGTGGCTTGGGTGTTGCAAAAGGGTGGGGTAGGGGTGCTGCAAAAGGGGGTGGGTAGGATGCAAAAGGACCATATTTTACAGGTTAACATAAGGGATTTCTTTCGCATGTATTGCAAATGGAGTTATAGAGTGAGTGAGTTTAGTTTTAAGCCACTTTTAGACATATTCAACAATATCACACCAGAAGTGGGCTTCACACATTGTACCCATGTAGGGAATCAAACACGGGTGTTCAGCGTGACGAGGGAACACTTTCACCATTAGCCTACCACAATGCCCCTGAAAGTCTTAAAACCATTTCCACGTCTATGAGAATTCTCTGTTAAAAGCAGAGTGGATTGACAATTGTGACTTTAATTATCATGAGTATGTAAAGGCCTGTGTGACGAAGTAATATGTTTTCACTCATGAACCATACATATGGTGGAGTGGGTTACTTAAAAATAATTCAGCAAGTCACGATAGGACCTTGGGATGAAAAGACTTCATCTCTGTTGATAGCAGGGTGAATTTTCTTTGTTTTGACAGCTTCAAGTAGTTTTCGCGTGGTCTGAAGTCAGCCTGGTTCCTCTCGATGACCTTGTAGGTGTTCTAGCCGATGTTGTGGCTGGGCTGGCCTTTAAGGTGGTGGGTTATGGCGGATGAAACTCAGGGCAGGTATGTGGTCTAAAATTTAGACTGGTTCCTGTTTGAGCCAGCATTGATCTCTATCAACCATTGTATTAGTCTATACTGGTTCGCTTGACCTAGAGCGCTTGTGCACCTCCTCTGCTGTCGGTCGAAGACGAAAACAGGTTAGCAGTCACCAGTCGACAGTCTTTGGATGGGTTCAAGCGAGACCAAGTTAGGAGCTGTAAGGAGCCACAATGCTGCATCGCAAACATAGCTGTATTTAGCACAGGTTTTACCGGGTTCATTGAAGGTTGCTTCGACTGGACTCAACGTATTTCCTAAAGACAAAGCCTTCAGTATGTGAAGACGGATTTAGGCATGTTTGTTATCCTCACTATATCAGAATATATATGAATATATGTGCGTGCGTGCGGGCGTGCGGGCGTGCGGGCGTGTGGGCGTGACACTAACCCTACAATAGCAGCCTGACAACCGAGGCTCAATGTCAGCAGTCTCTTGCTGTATTTATTTCGTTCAGTATTTGGCGATCTATAACTCATGTTTTATACTGTATTGTCTTCTTTGATTGGAATATTTTAGCTTCGCTAACTAGTTTTTATATTCATACCTGTGATTCTCTAGTATTTTTTTACTGTCCATCGTTGACTGGTTTTAATTTTCAAAATGTTTTCAATTTTATTGTATAAATTGTTTTCGTCACGATATGGCTTAGATATTGCCGAAGTGACGTTAAATATTAACTTCACTCACTCACTCTACCACTTTATTGCGTTTAGATTAATTCATAATTTATGTTTGCCTGCCACTAACCCATACAATGGCAGCCTGACAAACGAGGCTCAATATCAGCAGTCTATTCCTGTCTTTTGTTGTATTCAGATTAATTCATTATCTGGTAGCTTAACATAAGTTTATAACCAAAAATGAAATACCGACTGCTCACTTTCTGAGTAGTTCGGCCAATATTATCCTTTATGAATACATAGACAGTCGCAATCATCTCCTTGTATCTTGAATGATCGTTGTATTGGGTTTGTATTATCAAGGTGTGTGTGTAAGTGAGGTGGGGTCACTGTATAAGCTTACCGAGAGTTATCTATATATGGTATTGTGTATATCTTGCTGTACCATTGTAACTGTGTGAGAGGTATTAATTTAATAAAGTAGGAGGGATGGAGAGGAGGACCGTGGGGTGGGAGTGAGGGAAACAGGGCAGAGATAGATCATAACGAAGAGAAAGAAGGAGGGAGGGAGACAGGGGAGAGTAAGATCATAACGGAGAGAAGGAAGGAGGGAGGGTGGCAGAGGAAGAACTATATCATAACGGAGAGAATGAAGGAGGGAGGGTGGGCAGAGGGAAAGCTGTATCATAATGGAGAGAAGGAAGGAGGGAGGGTGGCAGAGGAAGAACTATATCATAACGGAGAGAATGAAGGAGGGAGGCCGGCAGAGGGAGAGATAGATCATAACGCAAAAGAAAGAAGGAGGGAGGGAGACAGAGGGTGAGATAGATCATCATAATGGAGAGAAAGAAGGAGGGGTGGCAGAGGGAGAGATAGATCACCATGGAGAGAAAGAAGGAGGATGGGAGAGGGATCACCGAGGATAAGAAAACAGTGAGAGCCACAGAGGCAGACAAATAACGAGCACTGGAGCGAAAGGGACAGAAAAACATGGGAAATGGAGGATAGATGGGGAGGGGGGAGGGGGATTAGAAGTGGTAGAGAGATGCCTACTCCCTGTACACGGGTACCACAAAATGTAGGACGTTGTACACGTGTAGACGTTTCTCTTGTAGGATGATGTTGGTGAAGCGAAGACACATGTTTACAGTTTTGAATGTTCACCAATACCTGGGAGCTGAATAGAAGCAGAATGTAGGACGTTGTACACGTGTAGACGTTTCTCTTGTAGGATGATGTTGGTGAAGCGATGACACATGTTCACCAATACCTGGGAGCTGAATAGAAGCAGAATGTAGGACGTTGTTCACGTGTAGACGTTTCTCTTGTAGGATGATGTTGGTGAAGCGATGACACATGTTTACAGTTTTGAATGTTCACCAATACCTGGGAGCTGAATAGAAGCAGAATGTAGGATGTTGTACACGTGTAGACGTTTCTCTTGTAGGATGATGTTGGTGAAGCGATGACACATGGTTACAGTTTTGAATGTTCACCAATACCCGGGAGCTGAATAGAAGCAGAATGGATGACGGTCAAAGACCGACGGATGACAGTGACACAGAGACTGGGGGATGTACCCCAGCAAAGTGCAGGAAGAAACACAGTGATGGGCTCACGTCACCAGACGGGGAACACGTGGAACCTGCAGGTGTTGCCACGGACAACCCACAAGGAACAACTGAAGGAGCAGGCACAGAGGATGATGAAAATACGGATGTTTTGAAGAGAGTGTTACTGAGTGATAGGAGGAAGAAGGGATATACAGGACATGTCACAACTTGAGCAGGTGCTGTAGGATACAAGGTATGTGTGTCTTAAGGAAATAAGAATTGTAACTGATGCTCACATATAAATGGAAGTTATAGTGAAGTATGGCAGATAGTTGCGTTACTGCACTTTGTATCGCAATATAACCAGTGTATTTATTAGTGCATCACAATCATCAAATATGAGGGACTATCAAACAGTTTAGAACCTGATATATGTGCAAGATAAAAATAACAGGCTGATATTGAAGAACGGTGTATATCATTCACATAAACGTAGTATTGACATGCACATGTCGGTAGTTGCCGGTCACGTGACATCTAATCACGTGCACGGCCGAAGATAATTTATACTTATCAAAGTCCGTAGTTTAGACTACCAGTTATCCAACTCTGAGAGTGTTGGTATGAATCCCCAACAAAAGTACTAGAATCTGTACATGACTAAGAAAGTATAATCCCAAATATAACACATGGTGAGGTGAGGCTGCATGATCAAGTCATGGACAGACTCTACTGTGGTGAGTGGTGGTGAAACCAGACTGTCTGACTGAAAGTTGCAATCCTCTGCTGTGTTTATAGACAAAAGTAAACTATACCGACGACAAAACATTGAACAAAAACGTTGAACAAAAACGTAACATTTGTAGTTAATCGCTCAAAAGCAAGTTACATGAAATGCACGTGAATCACGAATTCGTGTTTCACCCAAGTCTGAAGCCTATGACTGTAGGCTTTTAAAAAGCCACATCAACAGTACCCAGATGCATTGCTTTTAACCACTATAGACGACAAAGGAACGCTGTTGCTGACAGAACCTCAACGACACAACGTTGAGGCTGTGTACAGATAGGCCATCTCAAACCTATGAACCCGATACAACAATACTGGGAGTATTAATGACAGACCAAGGTCAGTTTGACCTAGAGTTACCACCACCGCCCAGGATCGCTACATCCGGTTGAGACATCTTCGTTCACGCACCACGACCGTAACATCCACAACGTCCCAAATCCCTGGATGGCGCCGAATCTCCGACCAGACAGTGCGGCTACGAGGAGTCGGACTTTTGCCAGAAGGCCAGTTCGACGTAACGTCTTGTACGTCTCCAATGGTGCAGACAATTAGTGAGATAGCCGTTTGCAAGATGGAGGACACTTTGTTCTCAGATTGATCACGGTTTCTTATCTGACGTTCTCATGGACGTTCATGTGTATACAAAAGTCGAAATGAACGTTACGCCAATAACTGTGTATAGCAAGTCGATACAATTGGTAGTGGAAAAGTCATGGTGTGATCAGGTATCTACCATTATGGCCAGAGACAGCTCTTGTGCACGTGGCAGGTGCATTGAATGAGGTTCACCACTGAGATGAGGTTTTGCATCGTCATGCCGTTCGCTTTAACAACGTAAACGGTGGATATTACCAGCATGACAATACTCGACCTCACGTTGTACGTGTTTGACAGGATTTCCTCCAGCAAAACAACGTTCAGGTGTGTTACCATGACCTTCCTCGATCAATCTGATTTGTCCCCATTGAACATATATGGATACTCTTCATCCTTGAACATCCACGCTTGCGCCAACTTGATACCCCACCTCAGACTCCACAAGAACTGCACGCAGCACTTCAGTAAGAGTATCAAAACATTTCTCAAGACAGCATTTGGCATCTCTGTTTTTTCTGTAGATGCAATGATGTCATGTCAGAATCAATTGTAGGCACTCAGTGATTAAACTACAACAACAGCATGTCCAGTTTCTATTTAAGAGTATATATTGTGAGTGTATTATGCCATTGTAACTATGTTAGTAATCATATGACATTGTCCGTGTTATGTTATTGGACTCTGACATGTTTGTTTCCTTCGTAGACACCAAGTCACTAGTTCAACACATTGTGGGCTGTTGTCAGCCAACACAGGGAGAAATAGCATCAGCACCACAGCAACAACAGCCGCTGCAACCAGCTTCAGGTGGAGATGGTGATGACAGAACAGATCAGGCACACCTGTCAACTTTGTCTCCTCTGCCCCTCAATACCAGCATCTCTAGTGTCACAGATACAGTCCTCCGGGCTGCCTGAAGTACCAATGACTGGGGACTCTTCTGCAGGTGGGTGGTTTTATCCGATGTTGTTGATCTCTGTAAGATGAGCTATCATCTAATCTCACCTTCCATTAAAACCCTACTTCTCAGCAGATAAGATCAGATCATTTTCTTTTACCAGTACCTCATGTTTTGTCCATTCCCAGTATATCTCTAACTTTGAAGTTGCGGTATCTATGTCGCCAGTGTTTGGCAGTGTGTCAGTTTACATGCACAACCTCCATGGAAGCTTGTTGGACCAAAGCACAAGATTTTCCGCAAGCACTGTTCAGTTATTAATGAATACACGTAACATGGCAGTCGCCTTTCAGAAAAATATGCTGATGATATCACCTGTGTTCAGAATCACTAATAATTTCGAATTTCAAATTTGGAACACATATGTGAAACCTCCAGTCATATGGCTTCTGTTACAGAAACACTGTGCAGCTTTATTCAAATAGAGCAACGCTTTGGAAATGTGACCAAGGAAGTGACCTCAGCATAATTTTTTTTTTCAAGCTCATTTCAGCTTTATCTAAGCCATGTATACTTGGCAATCGCCTTTTAGAAGAAAAAAATATGATAACTTATGCGAGGTGTTGTTTGTCTGCTAATGTTATCACTTGTTTACAGAATCACTAGTAGAATATGTACACATCTATGACAGCTTCAGTCATGTGGTTTCTGTTACAGTCACACAGATCAACCTTTATACAAGTACAGCAGCAGCAGTTTGGGCATATGACAGCTGAGAATCTGAACATTGAACTCAGAATATCGGTACAACTCCGACCAACAAAGAGGAAGAAGAGATACCATTGACTGCAGCACCAGAAGATCAGGAGTGAGTTATTTGATAAAACTGTTTTCACAATGACTGTCCATATGGGGGCAATATACAATTAAACCGGATTGATATATAGAGATACTACACTCCGGTCTCATTACATACGAATTATACGAAAGAGTGTCCTTTCGCTCGGTCAGATACCATAGGAAGGACACTCGTTTCGTATAATTCGTATGTAATGAGACCGAGTGTGGTATTTTATTTATTACCCACGTCTTACATGCATTGAATTGACAAAATAGCGTATTTTTGTTATTGTTATGGTTTCAAACCGAAACCGGTTTCATAAAGAGGTTGCGGAAGAATTTTGTTCTGAAGTACACTTTTGCATGACGTCACACTGTATTGACGTCACTACGCCATTCTCGTCTGTCCCCTTGGTAACCGACGTCACGATGCATGTCAGTTGTCATCACCTCTCGTACAGCCTCCTACAGTAAACTACTCCGTAGCACCCCGTTTCTTGGTTTGCAACTGCTTCACTCGGCTAACATCACTGGTGGAAACATTGCGTTTATGTTTTCGACGGATATAATGTCTCCCTCTTTGAAGATCCAGGTTAGAACTGATCTTCAGCATCTCATGCTTGTGTTTCTAATGAATATCCAAGTTAGAACTGGATCTTCATCATCCCATGCTTGTCTCCCCATGAAGATCCGAGTTAGAACTGATCTTCAGCATCCCAAGCTTGTCTCCCTTATGAAGATCCGGGTTAGAGCTGATGTTCAGCGTGCCATGCTTGTGTTCCTTATGAAAATCTGGGTTAGAACTGATCTTCAGTATCCCAAGCTTGTCTCCCCTTATGAAGATCCAGATTAGAACTGATCTTCAGCATCCCAAGCTTGTCTCCCCATGAAGATCCGGGATAGAACTCGTCTTCAGCAGCTCATGCTTGTCGTAAATGGAAACTAATGGTCAGGTTCATTATCATGATCGATGAATGTCATGGCCTCCCAATATTTTAGATTGAGGTCTTTTGATTAGTCCGGCACGCACGCACGCAATCACTGATATAACATACAATTCGCCAAAGCATACTTTTTTTCATCTTAAATGCATCTAATATATTCACCTGAACATAATTGTTTCAAATGGAACTCTTCCGTAAAAAAAAAGTATTTCAGTCAGCCTTTGAAATTGAAGGATGAATAACACTTACTGCTGGAGAACTCTGAGCAACATGTATGAATGGTCATAGGCGCATGGATGTTGTCAAACTGTCATCACAGATACTCCTGTATTGCTAAGTATCGTGCAAATTAAAATGGTTGCTGGCTTGGCCCCGTGTCGGACGTGCATGATTCAACTTCATCGGTCTTGACGTAGGGCCGTTACTGGTGGGCGGATGCTACGGGGCAGTCTATAACTTGACTGTTTTGCTGAAGACATCGTCACAAGTACCAAATGGTGTTTCTTGTTGAATCGACGAGCAAACGACACGCTGCTCTATATATATCTCTCCATCTGTCACTTTCCCGAGGCTTGACTTTGTTGTGCTTCCGTTTTAGTGAATTTCTATTTTTTGATTAGTGATTCGACTGGTTATTGGCCACGTCTTGTTACTGGCATTGCCCCGCCGACGACATACTTG